TTAAAAAATTATATATTTTATTTACATGGTTTTTTTATTTATTTTCTATGAATTTTTTAAGTCTGAAATTTTCCCCCTATGGGGAAAATTTCAGACTTGATCCAAATTTTAAAACAATATTAATATTCTTCCATTTGCTTATTTTCTCTTAAAATATTTTCGTTTTCATTATAATTTATAAAATAAAAATCTTTTTATTTACTGGACTGACATTTTCAAATCATTTAAATATTTTATAACTACTTGTGATAATATCTTGTAGTGGACTTTCTCAACCTCGCCTGTTGAAAGCATATTCACTTATTCCCAACTATGTTAGTTATTCTTTAAAACTCTTTAGTTGTTTCAATATTTCTTTCCTTATAACAATTGTCTTCTAAGAAATAATTTTATTAATATTAAGGCTTAACCTAAGATTTCTTATAAATCTTAGCTAAGAATCAAATATTAAATTAAATCGTTTTAATACTAAAACATAAAACTCAAATAACATATCTTTATTTAATTTAACAAGCTCCTTTGTTTATTATAAAATCCTGAAAACTGGGTTTTGAGTTAGTTACCAAAAAGGAATGTTTATTTGATAAAAAAATTTAACTCATGAAGGTTAATAATACTGAGATAGAAAGTAATATGGATTATATTATACAAAACAACAACAATGAAGTTGAAATAATAAACAGCAAAGATACATCTGACAGTAATAAACTTAATTAATCATCTTCTACCGATTTCGATATTAATAATAATATTTTTTTAATATTGATATTTATATTATTGAACAGTTATATTTTAAGAACTTTTTTAAAAAATGTCAAACTGAATGAATTATTGTATAAAAATAAAATTTTGAAAATCAAAATTAAACTAAAAAACTATTTAAAAAACATCATTAAACAGTTATATTTTAAGAACCTTTTTAAAAGTGTCAAACCAAGTAAATTATTGTAAAAAATATTAATTTATTTTTTTATTTAACCCCAATGGTTGGAAAATTAAAAGTTTTATTGATGATTGTAAGTTTATATCTTACTAAGATTAGTTGCGGTGGCGGAATGACTCCAGAAGAAAGACAGTCTTATAAGGCAGGTGTTTTTTTTATAGATGCAACTAGTGATACACATGCTATACCTTCAAGTAAATGTTTATTTGTAGATAGAGAAACTAATGCTCATTACGAAATCTCGATTACGAAGGTTAATCTTGACAATACACACCCTTCTACTTTTACTCCAACCGGGAAAGAAAAAGAAAGTTCTTTTAAAACCGAGACTGTAAACAATTAAAGATGAGAGTAATAAATTTTCTGATAAATCTTTTTTCAGTTATTTATTTATATCAATTCTATATTTCTTTAATTACACAACCTTTAAATTAATTTTAAAATATGTTAAATATAAATAACAGAACTTTTTTAAAGATAAAAAAATCAATTGTATAGATGATGAAATAATAAATTATACGAATTTGTTTGTAGATATAATAACAACTTTTATTTATTCAAAGTTTTACATGAAAAATGTTAATCAAAAATTTTATTA